CATGGAATATTAAGGCTTTCCTGAATTCTGAGTTATATCTCTACACACTGTAAAACACTGCATACAATCTGGCACAACACACAGTTGAGAGAGTTTGTGACATGCCAAACTCTGGCATTTCAAAATAGTTAAAAAGCAACCTACTGACATATGACAAATTTCCACAGACAGCACCAGCTGCATGGCCTGGTGGTTCTTCCACGATTAGCCTCAGTTACAATTTGATGACTGAATTAAGTTATCTGCCAGCACTTCCAGCTGGCACGATACATTACTTTGTGGTGTCATGCTGTTTATCCATGGCCAGTGTTGTGACATGCTGAGGTCCATGTTTATCCTCTTTCAAATCCTGCAACTTCATGCAAACTACTGATTTCTTTAAGTTATAGTTAATCCAGACCTTATCAATTCTAGTTTGACACAAATTTCATCAAAACAAACTTACAAGCAAATTAAATTCTCTCATCTCTCCACACTGTGGTACTGTACATGACAAGACTTGGGGAAAAGATGGTGCAAAGATGCAGCTAAATGGCACCTTGGGGGCAAATTAAATTTCACATCTTTGTATTTCCCGGCTTTCAGATTGCAGCAAGAACTGAAACAATCTCTGGAAGATCAGTAAACACTCGGGGCAGCCTCAGGAGAGCAATTTTTGGACACCAACTAATCATAATTCCACAAAGACATACAGTCCTGTCCCACATCCACTCTCCCTGTGTCCTGGATTCTAAGTGCTACTCAATGATCCATTTGCAGGATATTAGAATATAATATGATCAGAGGCAAACATACATATAAAGTCACAAAGGTTGTTACTTTGCCAATGCCCACTCTCAAAGCCAAGGTGCCCAATTCACCTCCCACAGGCACAAACACCAGGTGTCCTGACTGCTGAGGTGGGTCCCTGCACAGGGCTCAGGCTGCAGATCTCCTCATCCCAGAGTCACAATAACGAAACTGGCCTGCTTCCCCCACTGCCATTCAACAGATATCTGCTGTGCCAGAAATGGGAGACCTGTAAAACCAGTGTGTTCATAAGCTGGATTGCTCCTAGTATTGTATTTCCTCCTAAAACACTTAAGTTTGAAACGGTTTATAACTGGCCTCAAATTTCAGAATCTGATTTTTAAAATAGTGATAGAGGAGCAATTCTAACATCAAGGCTCATTTTGAGACACTGAGAATAATTCACAGAGGTACTTCGACAAACAACTTACTTGCAAAACAATCATCTCCTGTCCTCTCTGGTGTTAAAAGAAATCTTAGGTGTTTTAGTTTGGGGTTTTTTTTTACATCGCATTGTATTATATCTCCATCTTCACAAATGCTACTAGGTTTATTGCTGTGAAGCCTTATTTAGGAAAAAAAAAACACCACAAACTAAAACATGTTTCTTGTTCCATTTCAAAACAGTTTCCTTTTCTTAAAAGCAGAAACATATTTTAAGGTTAGTAACTTCTCAAAATGTAGACAAGGAAGCAAGGACAACCTTCCAGAGAAAGCAAATTAATAGAAAGGATGGGACTTTATATAGTCCTATGGTTGTTGACTGTCATACCCCATACTTCTGAAAGCCAGGAAAAACCCTTTATCAACATTTTACTAAACTCACAACTAAGCCATGTATAGTAGGTTTTGAGATTCTCCTGCAAGATAAGCATTTTACTCATACACCATTTTTAATGGCATTGGCCTTTATTATTTCCAACAGTGCATCAAAACTAGGTGTCTGCTACATGGGGTCTCACATGCAGTCACCAGGTAGGATCTTTGTCTGCCATGCCAGAGTTCTGGGGATGAGACCAAATCAGCTTCTCTTGCCTGCTCTGAGACTGGCCTCACTTCCCCCAGCCCTAACTACAGCAGCAACTCTAATGGACCTTAATAACATTACTGCCCAGATCCACCACAACACAGCACAGGAGCACTTCCAAGAGGTTTCCCTCTTTGCAGTTAAAATAATTCTGCTCCCCGGCCCATATTAAAAACTCCTGAAAATAATCAAGGAAAAAACAATCGTCCTCCTTTCTGAGATCAAAATGATTTTGCAAGAGTTTTGGTTTTGTTATGTGGGTTTTGAGGGGAGGAAGGAGGTGATGGTCTTTCAATTAATGTGAATGTGAGTCTTTCCGGAGCAAGCAAAATGTGCAAGGAATGCAGAACGGAGCCCTTGAGGTATTTGGGGGATGGTGAAGGAACAAAATTAAAAGTGACTGAGGTGCCTCTGTTAAAACCATCTACTCTGTAAGCACATGAATGTTTCCTCATTAAAGATTCATAAGAACTTCATAGTTCTAATGCACATGTGGCCGGTGTTACAGTTCAGTAGCCAGAACTCTTAAAAAGGAAAAAAAAAAGACAAAAAACCCCAAAACAAAACAAAAAAAGAAAGAAGATACTTTATTTTTTTTAACCGACTTTCTTTTCAAGGGAGATAGAAACCTCCTTTTTAAACACCAAAGGACAGTTACTGCAAAAGCCTGTCATTCTAGAGAAAGGTCTGAACAAATGAAAACCAAAACTATATTTGTTGTAATTCATATTCACAACCACTGTCCTTTTCCTACTTCTGCATTTCTGCATTTTCTTGCCCCAAAAAGGGATGAAATCATGTCCCTTTTTAAAATCGGCAAGATGTCGATGAGGAGCACCTTGAAAGGCTCCTTGGCAACAAAGGATAATAACGCAAAAAAATGGGAAAAGGATTTGAGAAGGGAAAGAAGAGACTTCTCTGTATTAAATTGAAGGCTTGAAAATGGAAGACTCAGCTTTGGATTTCCGTAGGTCAGCCCTGGATCTCACAACTTCAGCAGCATCTACTCACTGTTTAAGAATGAATTGATTTTTTTCCTTTATGATCAGTTTTTCTGGTGCAGGTTATACTCCAGATCTGCTGGAAGCTGTTGAATTTCAAAGGTGGAGACATCTCTTTAAGAGCAGGCATAATGGGGATGTCTCAGAAACTGGGTGATGTTGGCATCTCCCATTCTATTACTTTATTTTCACTGGAAAGGTGAAGAGCTTTTGGCTGCTCTTTTCCATTTCATTTGTTTCCATGGTGAGAAAGACTCATTTGACTTTCCAGGGTTCCTGCATTTCTACCTTGGCCTGGCAAAAACCACAGATTTTATACAGAAGACAGGCAGCCATCAGCAAACCCTCAGCAAACTACCCAAGCTGGTATCAGACTGAGGGAGGACTGAGTTACACGTATTAGCAATACATGAGTTACATGTATTAGCAGCAAATTGTGTAAGCATTGTCCTGCAGAGGAATTGCAGATTTTAACTCCATTTTTTGCCCCCAAAACACTCCTAAATAATTTTTCCAATACATCACAGACCATTCAGTCATTGCCAGCTTCCCCCTAAAGTGCCCTGCAATGTGTATCTGAAGCATGTTATTTTTAAGTAATGTGAATTATTCCTTTTTCTTCTCACTGTGAGGAGCACGTGACTCCCTCTGCAGTATCCCTAGGTCATTCCAGGGACGAGGAACACAAAACATACACCTGAACACAGGTGTCCAGCAGTGTCCCTGGCCAGGCCCTGCTCGAGCAACACCCACGCCTGATGGTTTGAGCAGGTTCAGAACAATGAATTTTCCTCCTTTCTCAGCACCTCTCTGGTACTCTCCACCCTCTCTGTGTGAGTGTCACCATCCCAGCCCTTGGTCACTGTAATCATGTATTTGACCTTCCCAACTCATGTCCACTGCAGTACCAACAGGAATTCTGCATCCCTGCTTTCTCCACCTGGCTTTCTATTTCATCTCCTACTCCATTTCTCCTTCTCCTATGTTTATCTTCTTTTTTACCATTTCCAAGAATCTTTTTTAGAAGCAGGGACCTTAGTCAGAGAGCTGTAAGTGTTAATATTGCCATCTGCAAAGATCACCTTCCCCTCCAGTTTGGCTGAGCGCACACAATTCCCTCTTACTGGTTAATGTGCTCTTGGCTCAGTGACGCTTCAGCACAGCTGGGAAGCTCAAAAGGTATTGCTCTGCAAACCCTGATAAAAGAGGCAGCCTTTCTCTACATTCATTCCCAGCTCTGTCAAGCTTATTATAATAAATCCAAAGCTAGTGTCTCTTTATTGGTAAAATATTTAGTGCTCTCTGTTTGACTTTCATTTCTCAGAACTGTTTGTCAAGAAAGTTCTCTATATCCTCAGATAATTATCTCACTATAGGCCTAAGGAAGACAGAATACTCTTTTAGCAAATGACCATATCCGTGCCATGTCAGGCTTAGTTAGAGGTTAATAATGGGTACTGTTAATCTGCCTACAAATTTTCATGCTCACAGTACCTTACAGCTTCATTGAGATTGACCATACACAATACATATCAATCTCAAAAGCATGCAACTTAGCAGCAACAGGGAAGACAAATTTGTCCAATTTGCCTTTAGCCTAAGTTTGTTCAATAATACACCTCAAACTTTGACTCCACATAAGCTTATTTTGTTTCATATTCTATTCTATTACTAAGTATTCCACAGGATTATGCAAAACTTGTTGACATGGTCATGCCCACATCTAACATGCACAAAGACCATCAAGTTGACAACTATACTGAAGCATTCTGGAAACAGTAAGAGCAATGCCCATTATGACATCTGATTTTCTGAGAATAAGAAGGGAGGACATTTGATATTTGTCAATATGAGGTATTTGATGTATCACCGTAAATGTCTGGATTCTTAATGGTGGCATTCTATACCCTACAGCTACGGTGACCCTTCAAACATTATTTCTTAACAGTCTTTTAACAAGTAAAATCAATATAAAAAGGCAGATAATTCTATAGTCCAATTATATTTTTTTTTCTCTGCTCATGCATAGTATTTTTCAATTCATTCTGCTAAGATCATCTAATCTGACTTGCTTGTAGTAAAATAATTATTTTAGCATTTAATGCTTGTATAAGCTCTAATAGGTCATTCAGGACAGAAACAGAACTTTTATCATTCCACAAGAGCAAAATCTGACATAAAACATTTCTTTTTCTGCTTTTTACCATTTCTTCCTCATTTTTATGAATTTTAATAATAATTATTTTCGGCCTGATTGGCTAGATTCAAAGTTTTTTTTTACTTTTGCAAAATTACCCTTTAAGAGACACTAAGACACATTTCAGATGAAACTTTTATATTGTTTGATATTAAGTTAATTGTACAGATTTTAGATACTCACTTCTAGGCATACTAAGCCACTGATATTGTAACTCCATTATCATGAACACAGACTTGGTAATTAGAATTCTCATACTCAGTCCCCAATGAATGCAGTTAAAATTGTACCATCCACGATTTCATTCACTTGGACTACGTTAATTATGGTCCTGAGCCCTGTAAATATCTTTGAACTCCTGTGTCTCACTTCCTTTATCAACATGAATCCAGCAAGATACTGGAATAAAGAGTTTTACTGGGAATCATGGTTTATGTATGATAAACACACAAAAAATGTCCTAAGTGCACTTTGTTAGATCACTGATCACACTGTTCAATATAACCTCTGCACAAACGTGATGTATATTGTTTAAAATCTTGCATCTCAGCCAAATGGAAACAGATTACTGAACTGTGCAGACCCCATCTGAAAAACAGGGACAAATTTCTGCCAGATTTCAAGTCACAATATTTCAAAGTGTTCAGGGAGGAGAGGGGAATGGATGTGAATCCCAATTTTGCATGATTTCTTTAAATCTTGGCCAAAGCACATTTGTCCTCGGAAAGAACTCGTCTGCCTTTTAATGAACCTCTGTAAGAAGTTAACCCCTGGCTTAACCTAAAATGAACCACGCAATAACCAAAAGAACTGATGAAACTATTCACACCAGAGATTAAAAACACTGAATTAGAATAAATCTGTACTAAGCTCTAAGAAGATACTTCTGCTTATGGCAAGAGAAAAACAAAAAAATCTCAAAATTAAACTTTCAACCTTTTAAGTGTTTCATTGGAGAAATAAATCCACATTTTAGAAGATTTTAAAGAAAAAATTTGTACAAATCATCTGTATAATGCTACGTTTGCCTGAAGCAGCAACACTATTTGAATGACAGTATCTATTCCATTCTAGGAAAATACAATTCTATTAAAAAGCCATAAAAACAGGGCATAAAGCATATTTAGGGCATAAAGCATATTTAGAAAGAGTTCTGTGATGCAGTAAAAAGAAAGCGTACTCAAATTTATAACGGTTCAAATTATCTAAAAAAAAAAGAAAAATAATAGTAATCCAAAAGTACGGGAGATGTGTAGAAACTGAACTGCTGAGCATTACTCCAAGCAAAAATCATGCAGATCAAATGATTCCTCATGTACTTGCTGCTGATAAAAATCATGTTATATAAAGAATAGACTGGACTCCAGCTAAGTTTCTTTAGGATAAAATAAATTATAATTCTTTGGGTCTGGTAATAGTTTATCAATTTTCTGATGACAATCACTAGCTAAAGGTTACCTGCAAATAATCTGGAAACAGGCAGCCCAAACCATCAGCAGGTGGTGTATGTATGTATAGGGATATTTTCCTTAGCAGAACTGTAAAATTCCTGTGCAAGGCATGGAAACCTAAAATTGCTTCATTGCCTCTGTCTCTGAAAGTAGAGAAGAGAGCAAAGAGAGGACAGAGGATACAGACCTGCAGCAGTGCCTCATATTCTATCAGTCCTTTCTTACACTGTTCCCTGAAGTCCTTTCTGTGATGTGGTTAGGATGAAAAAGTAAGCAGCAAGGCAGTCACATTCAATTTAATTGCATAAAGTCTTCTATAAAGTTAGGTAGGATAAAACTACATGGGTATGCAAGTGTAATAGTACTAACACCTAGAGATTCTTTGTTTTCAGCAATATAATAAAATTAAATAAATATATGATTAGAAAAATACAAGAAAATAAGCCAGAAAATAAAGCTTATGCAATCCCAAATTTAACATAGAAAAAAATGCACAAAATAGCTGACATGCAAAAGCAAAATGTCAGTAAAGAACAAAACCAAATTGCTTTGCCTTTTAGCACTGGAGGATGTAGCTAGCTTGCTGGGTAATTGGCTGATTGACTGCTCTGCTAACTTTCTGGGTGAGTGGTGGAGCAGAGAGGCTGCCTTCCTTCAGGCTCACTGCTGGCATGTTGGCACTGATATTATACATACATGCACATGCACTCTCTTTTTTAATTTCTTTGAACCCCTACTCTGTCCCACACAGGAGCTTGAAACTTCAATGGGAAATGAAAGGTAATTGCACATAGAACCAATATTTCCAAAGTGCCAGTACTGTTCTATCAGTTCATACTTAACTTACATGAATTCATCCTAGCAACTGATATAAACAGTGCACTCGTGTAGCTCTAAGTGAGAAATCTACTGCTATCTCAATGCTGAAACAAGAGAAGTACCATTTCTAGTTCCACTTCAGCCTGATTGAAGTAGGAAAGTGAGCAGCAGCTGCTCTCACAGTTTACTTTTTTAACATTAGCCCATTACTAAAGTTTGACAGTAAAACCTGTAACTAGTATAAAAGCTTCTTTCAGAGATTCTGCAAGACCAGTAATACCATGCATGATCCTGTCTGCTTTTTGCTGGCTCACCACACTTCATTAGGGTTTGTTTTTCATATATCATCTCTTAAATGTTGAACTACACAATGACTTAATAGGTCATTAGAAAAGCTTTGGTTTCAGAAAACGTGCATTTCATGGAAATCTGACTGAGGATCACAAAATAGTGCAAAAGTTGTTTACCCTTCCCAGCAATTTTGTAAATAGTTAGTTTTCCTTAAACCCAGTTAATGAAAACAGTATCCACAACTGCTTTTAGATGCAACTAACACACCAAGAAAATGGGGCAATCAATGGCACTTCATAGAGTACCACCAGTGGCTTAAACAGCACACCACAGCAACATATGCAAAAACTCTAAAACATGCAAGCATTTAAATAAATAAATAGAAATCACACAGCTAATGCTCTACAGTTCATTAAAAATGCTAGAGTTTTAGCCAACTGAACCTCAACCTCACTATGACACATCAAGTATTTAAAGAAATGAATTCCCCAGGTTCATTTAGCAAAAGAAAGCCTGGCACACCCCAGGTTACAGGAGCTGTAGAAACAATGACGTACCTGTACCAGCCTTTGTGTAAGTTGGCATCAGCCCAGAGCCCCAAAGGGTTCACACTCACTGCTGGCTTATGCTCAGCTCCATGTGGCCAGCACACAGCCTTCATCAATTATGGCTCTACATTCTCTGTAGGTATCAGGCAGGGTTTCACAGAGCTGCTCAATGGCATGCTCTCTATTTTCTCAAGAAACTTTGGCTGCTCCTGTGAAAAACAGTTGAGCACTGGGGAGCAGCACCTCTACAAAAGCATGGAGACACAGAAGAGCCACAAATGCTACTGAGAGACATTAGGTGGGCTGAAGAAATAAAACTTGGCTTAGCTCACCTTTGTGAGCACTAAACCCTGGTTCTTTTATTGAGGAATTGTCGTAAGAAAAAGCTTTTACAGATTTGTAGGGGAAATGGGCCAAAAGTAAGTAAGAACACAGGACTTCATGCACACTTATGGAACTGTTTAAATAATTATTCAGGTATAGAATGTTAGACATAAAAACAAAGTGCCTGTGTTGCAGTATTGTACTTCAACACAATAAGAGTCAGCAGACAGAATGATGAAAAAACACAGATAAAACAACAAAGGATAGAAATATAACTTTTTATGATGCAATTCATGTAAAGAGAGCTTTTGGGACTTTTCAAAGGAAAGAGATCTAAAACGAGAAAATAAGATTTTAGGAAATGCACCCATTAGCACGGCAACTCAACACAGAGGTGGGAAGACCAGAAATTTCCTTATGTAAGGATGAATAATAGACAAAGTTCTGCATAAAGACCAATTCCATTCAATGTGGTACTGGGGACCCCTTACAAATACTTGATCCACCTCTGTGCTAATATTTACTACTTTATAATACCATTTTTCTACTTTTGTTCTGTGTTTTTCCTTTCATTGTCACTGCTTATCACAGATTTGAGCAAGGCAAGTATAAAGGTAGGAAATTACTGAATGAAGGAGAAGTTATGTCAGAGCTATTAGCTAAGATGAATTTTCTCATCTTACAGTAACACAGAGTCTGAACACATGAGAAGATAGCTCTATGAAACCAGGGAGCAGCTGTTGTGCAATAACATGGTCAATAGGGAAAATGAGTGAAATGTCTCATTTCTGTTCCAAGTGAAAGACATTTAATTTGACTTACACAAACAAACTACAAAGTAATCATAAGAGACTGCTACTCAAACACCTGAATGCAGGGAAATCAGGAGAGAAGACCTGTAACAAAAGGTCTGTATTTTACCCTCCATGCAGATGTCTGAGCTTAGAAAAAAAAGAAGAAAAAAAGTTCAATTTACTGAATTCTCAGTTATGGAGAAGACAAAAAGAAAAGGAGCACCCCCACCCATCCAGCACTCAACTTGAAAATTGGGACAACAAAAACAAAAATAGGATGGAAAGTAGGAATCGATTCAATGTCCTCAGCAGGAAACTTTAGATTTTCACTGGCTTCTTTAAGCAACCCTTGGTCAGACTGGCTTGTTATGCAAGACCAGAGAGAGCAGCTTTGTACAGACCTCCTAAGCTCCAAAGTCACAGTGAATTTCCCAAGGATATTTATTTACTGCATTTAGATGGTCCAGAGGGGTCTTTTCTATATTCAGCTGTATCCATTTTACAACATGGACGTCACTTCTGAATGCTAAAATAAGCTAAAATTGTATTTATCTGAGTATTCCATTAACTGGATTAAAATCAACTTTTTAGACTCTACAGAGAGTACATTGCCATTACATATAAAATAAATCTTTGCAGATAATGTTACTTTTAAATACACTTCAGGTGTTGAATCCATAACTTTTTTTTTAAGGATATGTGCAATTCACGGTTATTTTCATGATGTCACTAAGATTTGGCTTGTTTAGATGAGGAAAGTGAGTATTACATCATTATTTATAAATGGTGAACCCTACAAAGAGGAACAGATTAGTTTAAGTTAAAGGATAACAGTACTATAAAATCATATGGTTAAAAATAGGCTATGAGTACATTTAGATCATAAAAGAAAAAGAAATAAAGATTTGGAGCAGCCTTCAAATTATTTGTTCAGTTTGATACTGTTTATGCATGAATATGACTTACTAGAGTTAGAAACTGCAGCTTGTGACATGAATTTCTGCATATTCAGAGCTGAATCCTCCCCAGGCATGTTCCAGGACCAGCAACATTTATTAATTTGTTGTTTGATGCAAAACATGGCTTCAAGAGTTTCCCCTGCTCCTCCTGTTTTGCTAAAAAAGGCTGAGAAGGGGTGTATTGGATAGTTTACCCTGGTAACCTGCTCCAGTCCAGCACTGAAAAATCAGTGCCTGTGTTGGTGAATGCTGCTGGCACAGTCATGGCTGAAGGAAGTGTCAGAAAGGCTGATAAGGATTTATTGGTTACAGTCGCAAAGACACATAAAAGAAAAATTTAAAAACCCAACCTGTGGCACATTACAATTTATTCCTTTGTGACACATTAGAAGTTTTAAAGCCATTATACTGAACTGAAGTTCCAGTGTTCTTAATGGAGTGCTGGAAAGCTGTTAATGGACTGGCTCATTTTTGGTGTGTATGAGGAGAGGGAGAGCTGAACAAATTTTATTTTTATCCCAGGAAGTTCAGGCTGGCTGCAACCCATTCTGGTCTTACATTCCTAAATATTTTTGCAAGTTCACATAACTCTGTACAGTAGGAAAGCTTTATACAGTATTTAAACTTCACTCAAATGGGAGAATTGTGCCTGGTGAGGCACTTGCACTTCTCAGAAATACCTAAAAGCAATTAATGGGACAAAGGGGAAAAAAGCATCAAATTCTCAATTTAGCTGCTGACATAGTACATAAAACACTGTTTTGTTCTGAACACAATGTACTTTAAACTGCCCTTTCAGCTGAAAAGCATGTCTTTAAGGTCTTTAAAAAAGTATTAACTTACTTTGCATGAACAAATAAATGGGAATACTGAATGTAAAAAAGAAATGGTAAAACACACTTGGTGAAAGCAGTAAATGTCTGAGTACATACATTAGCTGTAAAACTAATTCATTGGCCATTAATTATAGCATTGTGGCAAAGTGTTACAGTTAGGGCTCAGGTTATGCTTTTTAATAAATTTGGCTTTTACAGACACCTACAACTAATATATTTTTCCTGACTTAGCATCTTTCCTATTTTTTCATAGACAGAGATTAATTGACTTTAAGAGATTCAAGTTGCCCTTTTGGCAGTTTCCTGGGTTATAAAGGCATGATAAAAACATTTTACTTATGCTTCAACAAGTTTCTTGCATTATGCTAACTCAAGTGGCTTATTTTTATCAGATGAATCCCACTACCATTGGATATACCAATGTTATTTTTTCCCATCAACAAACAAATAAAAATATGCATTTTATTTCAGCACAATGTTTCTCTCTGTATTCTCCTCAGCAAAACACTTTCTAAAGCAGCACATAGTGGTATTTTGTAATTCTTTTTTTTTTCACAGAATATGTGCATAGCTCAGACTATACAAACATCCTCTATAGCTCTCCCAGTCACTTTCCATTTCAAGAACGAGGCAATTTGTGTTAACACAAGACAGCTTATCATGTGCTAAGTCTGCATGCAATTTTCTCGTGAGAACAACCATTTTGTACCTACTTGACACATGCAGCACTACACTACACCCAACTAATCAATTCTGTCTATATTAAGAAGTGGGGAGAAAAACTGCCCACAGCTGTTATATTACATCAGCTTTCCTAACTACTTCAGACAACTCATTTTGGGGATTTTTTTTTTCTTTAAACTAAACTGGCATAAACCATAGCCCTTCTTTCCATTCCTTTTCAATTCTATTCTTTTTTTTTTTGCCTTCTCAGAGATTACTGGTGAAGCACAAGCGTCGAGAGAACAAGCCGTGCTTTCTGCAGGCATCCCCAGAAGTTCTGAGGGCAGCAAGCTCCCAGGGTCATTGGTACCCTTGGAGCATTTACAGACTAGCATGATATGAATGAGTAAAAGCATGTTTTCATCTGAGATCTCCCAGCCTGGTCTACAGACATGCATTTTTGGCAGACAAAAACTTATATACATAGGGGGTTTTGTCTTTATAAGTCAGCAATTGAGAAAATGTCTGTCAATTGATATCAAATCAGAGGTGGAGACAAGAAAAGTTATCAGTAGGGCCCAGAAGACTTTCGGGAAGGGAAGGATTGAGTTTGGAGCTTCTCTTTGGATGCTCACTTTCCCCCAAAACCATCATGATGTTGAGATGTCCCTGGTCAGAACTTAAGGTCTCTCACATTTTATGTATGCATACTACCAGGAGAGGTAGCTTTTCGGTCTTCTTGACAGTAAACATGTTAAAGACCACGTTGGATCTGAATACAATTAATATATAATATTTTCTGGAGTTTGAGAGGGCTATTCCACCAACAGCCTACAGATGAGGAATCAAAAGCACATACTGAATAAACAGATTCAGCTACTAATTCACCTCAGTTCCCTTCACAAGATTAGCTCAGTTGATGATTAAATAGTTTTTTTCAGCTTGGCTTCCCAAGTCTCTCTGAAATTCATACAAGCTGCCCTAAAACCACATTTCTGTTTTTCCTACTGTTTCAATTAGTCTGTGTTTCTTTACAGAAACGCAGCTTGTATCAGTCCTAAGTGGTATAGTTCAGCTTTGTCAATCAAAAAAGATTCTGTATTTTGTGACTATAAAGCAGTTTAAATGAAACACTGGTATCTATGATAAAGATGGTCCTGTGAAACTGCTGTGTCCCCCACTGAATGCTTTTATTTTACCATGCTCACATTTCCAACAGAAATCTGTTTTGCAAGTAGTTCCACTCAAAAGTCCATCAATGCAGCCTGGCAAACCACTGACATATTAAATACTGGTGCCACACCACGTGTGTGCCAGCAGCTGGCAATTTTGTGCCCAAGCTGAAGCCACAGTTTAATGTCAGAAGCAGAGGAGCACAATCTCAGCAGCGCGCTCAGAACGGCATCGACGCCCACGAGCGAGGGAAGGCAGCGCTGGGCAGGGCTTGGATCTCACTGGAAACCATGGAATTCAGAGCACAGACACGGCTGGGAGCCCACCTTGTCTCCAGGGGGAAACAAATATACCACAGAACCAGACTGATCAATGTGGCACTTAAGGAGGCAAACAACAAACAGGCTTAAGGTATAAAGATGGGAATCACACTTGGTTCTGGATCCTTGCCCTAGAACAATGGGATTGATTTACTAACCTGTTCTTCAGACTTAATTAAATTAAGTCTTAATTCATTAAACTGCTATTTTTAAACAGCACTGTAATATCTCAAAGGAAACAGCCTCCTTTTCTAGAATTATTGCTTTTATTTGCACATTACAGCATAGCAACCCTACAGCAATAGACATACAGGGCATTTTCCTGTTGTCTCATTCTCTAAAATATAATGTATGTGATGTCTAATAGTCCGTATTGTGACTTTGTACTGGTAAATAACAAATGAATAGAGGGAAAAAATGCATTACCTTTCTGTCACAGTGCATTACGAGTGCTTTGATAGATACTTCATGGTTGTAAGACTTACATACAGCCTGTTTGAAAGAGGATAATGTAATTTTACTTTTAATTTCTAACTCCTCTGTTTCTGACAGTCACATTAAGAACAGAAAAAGTTTTACAATTCCTGATAGAATGCTAAATCCTTGATACTGCACATTAGAATATAATGGATTCTGACACTTAGATAGCTTAGGAGGTTGGTTTTTTTGGTTGGTGGGGTTTTTTTACTTGCTGTTAGGGAGGGCATTGTCAAAAAATACTCAGCTTTTGCCCTACTAAATGAGTAACTATACTGTCAGCATAGGATAAAGAGATCCATTAAGGACCACAGAATTAAAATGAAAAGGCAATTTTTAATTAAGTTTGCCCAGTTTGACTTGTGACATTGATCCTGCTTCTGTTTCTCCTTTTCTGGCTTCTCAAAATTTCTATGCAATGACAGCAAATTGGACACCCTCCTCCCATGCAACTCATTAAAGCTGTGCCTGCAGCAAAAGGATACTTACTTTGAAAAGCAATCCACCCTGCACTCCTTACCAACAGTGAGCAACAACAGTGCCTTTTCCAAGTCCAGATCCACGATATTTTCCAAGGTTCCTTAGGTCTGCTTTTGCCTCTTGCTGCTTATGTAACCAGGCAGGTATTTTCAACAAGTATCAGTATCCTCTATCTGCACTCGTGTATTTGTGACCATTAAAGTTTCTTCCCAGTCAGGGCAGGAATGTACAAAAATGACCCCACTAAGGTAGAAATGTAAAATAATTGGTATTACACGAACATCAATGTACTTTTTCTTGTTTTCTCTCTCCTGATAAGCTGAGATCTCACAGTATTACCAGATTTGGAGATACTAAATAAGAAATACAGATAAAAAACAGAGAGGTAGAGAGAAATCAAGTGATAGACAAAAATTGAATGAAAATTTTAAAAAAAACAACTCTAAACTAAGACAGTCTTTGATTTCCAGTCACTTCTCTCAAATAAAAGCCTGTTCTTTCACAGACTTTCTTCTTTCAAAAGACTCTCTTGTTTAACATCAACATATAAATATTGTATTATCTAACCATTATGCATTTGCTACAGCATGCATAAATTTCCCTATTTATATTAAGTCCTTTATGATTAAGAATAATTGTTTTCAAGTAAAAGACATAGAAGCTAAAAAGTTGTATTTTTAATTGAATGTAATGCCTAAAATATAACATCTTCCAGAATCAGATAATGACAAAAGAAATCTGTCAATAAATAAATATGGTTGGGTAAAAACTTTGTTCAACTTAAACAGTCAATTAGAAATAATCAGATAATTCTAGCTAATTAAGTGATAGGGGAGACTTCTCATTGTAACATTAAATTTTATTTGCAATTACTAAATTTGTGGTTTTGCGTGATTTACAAGATATAATTCAAAGACTGTAAATGTTAATGAGGAACTCTTATTTGATGCTAAAAAAAACCCCTGGCAGTGAGGAACTGAAGGTACTCTGGTGCTATGAGGATCATTTTCATATCTCCTTTCAGCCTCATACCAATCTCACCAATCCACACAATTAAAATTTTAAAATATTAAAATGGTTTTATAGAAAATGTATTTTGTAGAACTAAATTGATTTTATGGAAAAAGACTCTTCTTTTGACAGACATTTAATTATTTTTCAATAATTCAATAATACATTACAATCTTCATTGACAGGTACATGAAATGAGGTATTTAAAGAGCACATTCATTTAAGTGACCATCTCTATTGTCTGTCTGTACCAGAATATATCTGACATTGGCATTATTGAGTAACGTGACCAAAATTATCACAACTACAGAAAACCAAGCACCAAAGAGAGGCAAAAATCCCTGGGCTGCAGCCACCACAAAGACAGACTGGTGTGAGGAAATGCAGGAGGAGTTGCAGGAGGCGTGAGGAATCTCACCCAGGGATATGATAAAAACCCCAGAAGAAAAAAAAAAAAAATCTTACAGCAGCTGACCACAACATTTACCAGCAATGAAAAGATGAGATGGCTAAGGGGGTGTGTGCATTAAGCTCTGAAGAATACAGTGCAATTTACTAGCTTAACACTCATTTTCTTGGTAGAAATTGCTTTTCTCCATGCTCCAGGATGAGCCTTAAAAAACACTAATTTCACAAAAAGCTATTCTAATTTTAGGTGCTAAATGATTATGATATGCATAACTATTTTCTTTCCTCTTTCTGATCTGTCCGCTGCCTACATTCACTGGGTTTCTCTTCCCTTCCAGTATTTGTAAGCTCTTTATCTCCTGAGTATCTCCAACCCTCCAAGCCAATTATCTGCAGTAGATGTGTTCTGAATGAAACAGGTACCTTAACTTCAGTAATTCATGAATTTTCAGAACTTTGGTTTTTAAGCTCGATATTTACAAGTGTTTTTGTACAGACCATATTGCAGGCAAACACACCTATCCATTAATATCAACCTGCCAGCTACATTAGCTGCTTTGAGAACTGACAAAGGGAACTCTCCTGCCTCATGTAAACACTGGCATCATCATAATTAAAAAGATAAACTCTTCATCTGACACTGAAACCAAAAGGGAAACTCAAAGTTCAATAACTGCCAAGAGGAACATGAATCCTCGTCCATCTAGTTTGAGTACAGGCACAAAGCCCAGCCTTGCTCCTGGAGAAAAATCCTTCCCCAAGTCTACTCCCATCCTTCTGCATCTACCAGAATATGGTCAATCCCTTCAAACAGTAATGCAGCATAGCGAGCTTCTGTAAACAATTACAAAC